CCGGCCGCGGCCGGCTACAGGAGCGCAGCCCTCGGTGTTGCCCCCGCTCCTCGCTCAGCCAGTGGGCGGCCGGTCTGTATGTGGGATCCGAACCCTCGGCGGGAGTGCCACCGCGCTTCCCAAGCGGTGCACTGTAGCAGTGCGCCACCGGGCCGGCCCCAGTAATTACTTTTAATAGAAAAACAAAAGGTAACAAGTAAATGTCCATCAATAGGGAATGAATTACGTTAATTGAGGGAGATCCACGCAGTGGAGGGCTGAACAGAAATCCAGAGGAATTGGGCAGATTTGTAAGGCACTGACATGGAAAAACTGTCACTATGTTTTTGGTAAATATAAAAGCAAGGTGCAGAACAGTATATATATATGTATGTGTGCATCTGTGTACAGACACACACACATTACCTTGTGTGCGGAGTCATGTGTATATATTAGGTTTGTTATTTTAGAGAATATATCTAGAAAGATAGATAGAAAGTGGAAATAGTTATTGCCTCTGTGCAGAAGTGGAACTCTGAACAACAGGGAAATGAGGAACACTTTCTTTTTATTCTCGTATCTTTACTTTTTTAATATATTTTATTTTTTTCCGCAGTCCCATTCTTGTATCTTTAAAATTTTGTACCATCTGTATATGTCATCAGTTGAAAACGAAGAAAACATAGTACTGACCAGCTGCCAAAAAAGAAAAAAGAAGAAGAAAACAAAGTAAAAACGTAAAAAAGACAATTTCATCCAGTGACAAGTGTGAGTTAAATATGGCCAGTTAATGTAATAGTGACAGCAGTGACAGTGGGGAGAGGGGGAGGGAGGAGAAGCCTACTTTGGATTGGGTGGCCAGAAGAGGACTTTTTGAGCTGAAACCTGCATGACCAGAAGGAACCAGCCCTGGGAACACCTGGGGGCAGATTACTCTGGGCTGAGGGAACAGCCAGTGCAAAGACCCTAAGGCAGGAACAAGCTTGGCATCTTTGAAAAACAGACAAGAAGCCTCGTGGCTGGAACACTGTGAGACCCACGCAAGAGCCACCAGGCCCTATCATGTTTCGTTGGTCATAGTGGAGGGTTCAGGCAACGAGAAGCTGCCCTTGAGGGGTGTTTTAGCCCTAGAGTGAATGACATGATCTGATTTACGTTTAAAACATTTACTTTGGCTGCTGTGGAAAAAAAGAATTGTAGGGGGCCAAGAGTAACACTT